TCACTTATAATCTTTTTCGTCCATTTTGTCATTTTTCAAGCTTCCTATCCTTCTCTCTTTCTGAACCCCTGCACAGATATGCAGTATTTGTGATAAACCTACATCCCCCAGGTAAGGAGATAGAGCAGTTCTAGGTGTCGACGTGACTGACGAGGTGGAAAGAAGCCCTGGATGCTGCATCTTTCTATCCTTACAATTTTCTATGGCACTGCTCAAGATGGATGAGACCAGTTGCCTCCATAGTTTCCAGCCAGAAAAAAGAGCCCAAGTCCAACATAGTTTCCTCTCTCTGTTCTGTTGCTAAAAACAGATGATACATGAAAAAACGTTTTTCTCCTGATGTTTGTTTTTTAATCAAAAGGAGAACATATAAAGTGTACGTGCACAAGCAATCAGACCCAATTACAACAGATAAATGGGAACAAAACTTATATTTCAATAGTTGAAAACCAGCTATATATATAGTCTATTAACCTAAAGCAATATGCATGGTATGGTTGTTACATGTCAGGTACGGCGGTCATTGACCTTGACCAGGGCACCCTGCAGTAGAACTGCAGTCAGTCCCTGGACTGGCATGGCTATCACTGCCCCTACAGGGACAAATGCAGAGGGCAGATTTCCCATTGGGATCAGCTTCATATCATGGTAGGCTACTTCTTTGGTTTTATTTATTTTGCTCAAGCTACTCAGAAGCCCCTAGGCTACCAAATATTAAAAGGGCAATATTATTGCCATTACTGTTAATATATAAAAGAGATTTTACACATGGATTTTTAAGATTTTTTTTTTAAGAAGGGAGATGCCATCCACCCTCATTCCCCCTCAATTCAAGTACTGTTTACGAGGGATATTGTTTCTTAATGGCATTAGGTCATTTTCATATTTTGTAGGAAACCAATTTTTGATTTATTATAAGCTATAAACAATAATGCTCAAAATCAAATGCAAAACCTTAAAATATGTTGCATGTCTAGATAATTTCAATGAGTTTAATTCTTGTATTGAATTACAAGCATTCATTAGATCTTTAAAAATATTCTAATTCATTGACAAAACCCTTGTATGGAGTTGTGAAATATAGGCAACTCCAGAAGGATAATGCCAGGGCATTATTGTCGGTACTGCAAACAGATCATATTTATTTCTGTAACCACTAAAGACCATAGATTATTTTGATACATATAGGTGCTAAACTTTTTGAGGATTACTTTGAGTAAATGAGGTATCCTGTATGTTTACCTCATGTTGCATTTAATGAATAGGTTCACCTTCCCAAATTTGCTATAGCA